AGTTCTTGAAACTGTAATTTATTCTACTGCCTAAACAATGTACACCTCCTTTAAAACAAGTAAGTCCTTAGTAAAAGCAATCAGAAGTTGGAGGAAATTCATCTGGACTTAAGGAATTTCACACCGTTCCCTGTAACATCCTTCTCTCCAAATCTGAAAGATAAGGATTTGGTTGGTGGAATTTTCGATAAAAGGAACCGGTTGCAAGATCACACCCAGATAGTGGTGGTCAATAGATCAAGATGCACATCAGAGACAAGTGGTGTCTGATTCAGTACTGGGATCAATGCTCTTTAATATCTTCATCAACGACACTGATGGTGCAATCAAGTGCACCCTCAGCAAGTTTGTGAATAACACCAAGCGGTAGGGTGCAGTCAACATGCCCAAGGGATCAGATGCTATCCACAAGGACCTAGGCAAGCTCCAGAAGTGAGCCAAGAAGAACCTCATGAGGTTCAACAAACCTAAGTTCAAGGTCTTGCACCATGGTCATGGCAACCTCCACTATCAACTCAAGCTTGGAGATGAAAAGATAGAGCACAGCACCACAGAAAACAACTTGGGCTACTGGTGGATGGCAAGATGGACGTGAGTCAGCAATGTGCCCAGAAAGCCAACTGTCATGGTTTTATGATTTTTGGTCATCAGTATTCCACACCATAACATCATGTAATGCACTGGGGGTGGGGTTTGATATCTGCCGAATGTTCGTCCGTCGGAGAAGAACTACATTTCCCCAGGAGACTTTGCGGTCAGCAAGGGGATATAACTCCAAGCAAGGTCACCTGATCCTTCTTCTTCGCCTGCTCTTCGCTGTCTGCACTTCGCTATCTGCGCTTCGCCACCTGCGCTTCGCCATCTGCACTTCGCCGTCTGTACTTCAGTCGCTCAACTGGACTGCACTTCTCACCCCAGCATTGTGGTGAGGTCTATACAATTCAAACAGACTCTCTCTCTCTCTCTCTCTCTCTCTCTCTCTCTCTCTCATTGTATTTTACTAATACTATATTTAGTAAAATCATTTGTTCCACCTCAGATCAGTGCTGTTGTTTTCAAGTATTTTGGGGTCCCCTGCTTCCCCTTTCCCAGAGGCGTGGATCCGCAGATCCCTCCGTCCTGCTGGTCACGGAACTGGGCCAGACCAGCCCATAAACCGTTGACACCAACTGAGATGCAAACTAAATATAAGGAAACAATCTTTCACAATAAAAGTGGTGAGGAACTAGGACAGGTTGCCCAGAGAGGTGGCAACCTCTCAAGACATTCAAGGTCTTGCTGGACAGAGCTCTGAGCAACCTCACCTAACAGGACATGTCCCCACTCAGTGCAGGAGAGTTGAACTATATGATCCTTAAGGGTCCCCTCCAACTCAAATGATTTTATGATTCATTAACGATCTGGATGAAAGGACAGAGTGTACCCTTACTGTGATGCTGATGGCAAAACTAGGAACTGAAGGATCAAGGCTCCGCTGCCATGCAGAAGTACCTTGACAAGTTGGAGAAACGGTCTGACAGAAAAATTGCACTGCAAGGAGTGCAAGGAGATCAACCAAACTGGTGGCAAACTATGATTTCAAGATTGGAAATGAGGGAGAGCAGTGGATATTGTCTACCTTGACTTCAGCAAGGCTTTTGACGCTGTCATCCACAAAATTCTTGCAATGATGCAAAGGAAGCATGTGATAGATGAGCAGATAGTAAGGTGGATTGAAAAAGGGGAGACTGGAAGAACTCAGAGAGTTGTAAGTGGTGCAGTGTCTCATTGGAGGCATATAATTATTGGTGTTTCCCAGGGTCAGTACTGGGTCAGGTCTTGTTCAGCATCTTTATCAATGACTTGGATGAAAGATAGACTGCACCCTTACCAAGTACGCTGATGATGCAAAGTTGGGAAGAGTGGCTGACATCAGAAGGCTGTACTACCATTCAGTGAGATCTAGAAAGATTAGAGAGTAGGGCAGAGAGGAGCCTTATGAGGTTCAACAAGGGCAAGTCTAGAGTCCTAGACCTGGAATGGCATCACCTCACACCTCAGTACAGGGTAGAGGCTTCTGGAAAGGAGCTCTGTGGAGAAGGACCTTGGTGACCTGGTGGAAGAGAGCTTGGCCATGAGCCAGAGATGTGCCCTTGTGGCCAAGAAAAAGGCTGGCGGTATCTGGGGGGCATCAAAAAGAACATGGCCAGCAGGACAAGGAAGGTTACCCCCCTCTCCACTCTGCCTCGGTGAGGCCACTTGTGGAGTACTGTGTCCAGTTCCGGGCTCTCCAGTTCAGAAAAAACAGACATAGAGGCGTTCTAGAGAGAATGCAATGAAGGTCTGCAAAGTTGATTAGGAGCCTGGAGTATCTCCTGCACAAGGAAAGGCTGAGAGACGTGGGACTGTTCAGACTTGAGAAGAGAAGGCTGAGAAGGGATCTCATCACAGTTCATAAGTATCTCAAATTCTAGAGCCAAAAGGATGGTGCCAGGCTCTTTTCAGTGGGGTACAGTGCCAGGACGAGGGACAGTGATCACAAACTGGACCACAGGAAGTTCCATACAAACATGAGGAAGAACTTCTTTACTGTGAGGGTGATAGAGCACTGGTACAGGCTGGTCCAGAGAGGTTGTGGAGTCTCCTCCTCTAGAGGCACTCCAAATCCATCTGGATAATGTCTTGCTTAACTTACTGTGGGAACCTGAACCTGCTTTTGTCGGGCGGCTTGGACTTGATGGCATCCCGAGAGGTTCCTTCAAAGTCCTACGAGTCTGTGATTCTTTGGTATTCATCAGCAGCGAGTTAGTGCAAGTTTCCATAGTTTTTGCACTGTTCTTTGTGTGTGTGTGTCTGTGTGTGTGTGTAAAGCAGGAATCATGTATTTAGAAGAAGATGTCTGAAAGTTACATGTTGCTGTGTACTCTTGTGAGGCCCTATGCAAGCATCCCAGTTTGGAGTCCGGCGGGTGAGGGAGCTTCCAGGACAGCTCAAAGAGCAGCCTCTTCTCCTTGTGATGAATCTCATGATAGTGGATAATGCTTCTTGCAGTCATGCAGAAGCCTGAGAGCCTCATTTGCTCTAATAGATAAGTGAACAGAAAACACAACAGCTACTTCTTCTACACTGTTGTACAGAGGAAAGGAAAGGCAAGATCTAAGGAAGCCTGATGATAAGTAAATTCAGTATCTTATAAAAGCAGACAAAATTAGATTGAAGAAAGCCTGTAAGCTCACAAATCAACATCGGTAATTTTGCTTGTTTTTAAGTTTGAAAGTTTTTAAGTACTGTCTGTACTTTTTTAAGCATGCTGCAATGACTTCTTGTCCCTTAGCCTAATTTGCAAGTGATTTTAAGTAGTTCAGTACAAAATTACACTGAATCATGTATGGAAGGTATGAAAATGTTCAAGTACTTTTATCAGTTCAGCTCTGCTCTTTATGTTGCTGATTAACTGAGATTTGAATTAATACTATTTTGAAATTGTAGTTGCGCTAGATTATTAGATGTTCATTCCTATACTGTGGTTCAAATAGTTCTTTATACTTGAACGGATGCCACTTCAGAGTATAAGAACTGCTGACATAATTAGTGTCCTCCTATATAATGTAAAACAAATCACATTTCTGTTGCTGTGACTGCCTAGTGAAGAGAAGTCTCAGGGAAATATCAGCAAAGTGTATGAACACATGAAGAGAAAGTGCAAACAAAACAGAGCCAAGCTCTTTTCAGCAGTGCCTGGCAACAGAAGTACTAATGGGCATAAAGTGAAACACAGCAGGTTCCCTTTGAATAGCAGAAAACACTTTTTCACTGTGCATGCAATCGAGCACTGGCACATATTGCACAGAGAGGTTGTGGAGTCTTCTTTCTTGCAGATATGCAAACGTAGTCTGGGAACGGTCCTGGGCAAATGATGCTAGAAATAATCCTGCTTCAGCAGTAGAGTGGCCTATAGTACTTCCAGAAGCCCCTTCTACCAAGCTCACCCAGTCAGTGATTCTACAAAGAAAACCTACATTTATTAACCAGCCTTCTGTCCCTGGGTGCTGCAGCTTTAGCCATGTGAAAGAACACCTTTAATCTTTGTGTTTCTGTTAACAGGCTCGGTATATGTGAAGTAATCCTAGTTCTCTTTTTCCTTTCTCATATAGCGTTTGATATAATTATGTTATTTTCCTATAACTAATTTAGTTTGTACTGAAAAGCAAACTTTGCTTCCCTTAGTTTTGAGTAGAAAGTCATTAGAGAGTTATGAATAAAGAGAAGTTGTTCTCTTGCCTTTATTTAGTGCTTGTTAATGCTTAATTTCATAAATATTGTACTTCAAATCCTATGAAGATTCAACAACTTTGATTACTTTTCAGAATTATTCTGATTTTTAGAAAATGAGCTCGTGTTTCCTCAGTTTAGCCAACAGCCTAGCTCAATACATATTTTGCATTTAATTTTATACTTAAGCACAGTATTCAAATTTGAATAAGCAGTTCAATAAAGAATACACGACATAGATGTTTATGCATGACATTTTGGATTTGGAAGTATCGTGCTACAGTTTCTGGTAACCAGGAACCTAGTAAATGCTATTATGTGTTAGTAAAAATAAAAATAATTGGTTGTATTGCTTTTAGGATACTAATTATTTAGTCTTCCTTACTCTAAAAATGTTTTACTTTTGATTACTGTATTTGTCAAGATGGTAAATCTTTCCAAAGCACTATTAAGTTCCAAATCTAAACCTAGTCAAAATTGAAAACACAAATTTAGGTCATTCTGGTACACCAAAATGAAACACAAAGTTGCTAGAATGTCTCAGAACTCACAAAAAGTTTTTAAATTTAAACATCAACTTTTTGAACAACTCTTCAGAGTTAAAGACTTTCAAAATGCATCATTTCTGAATCACCACAGCTTTCACCTTAAAACACAACAAACTATTTTTAATTCTCAATAACTATTTTTACTTCTCAAATTCTGTGTCAGTTATAAGTTTTCTTAACTGCTCTAAATGTACTACTAACCTGTTCTAGGGTTTCTATTTCGCTGTCTTTAACTTGCAAAATTTCTAATATCTTTCTGTCCTTGACTTCAGCTTTCTGCTTTTCTCTAGAAACAAAAAAAAAAAAGACACTTTATTAGTCACAATTTGCAGTTGATCATTTGAATTTTTCATGTCCTGATAATGAATGTCATTTTAAAACACGGAAAATTGAATTATTTGAAGCTGACAGGCCTTGCAGAATTAATCAGGGAGCATATGGCAAGTGACAGCAAATTACATCTGTAAACAGCTTTCTTCAGAAAGAAACTGAAGCAATAGGTATTAGAACAGATTTTAAAATAGCTAAAATTAGCTATCTCATTCCTCCTAAAATGCACTAGATATACTTGCCTACAGACTGAACAAAATGTTCTCCCTTCCTTGGCAACACAGTGACATTAAGCTGTTTGGATATTATCCATACCATATTATCCATAATTTCTATGGCTTTTAAAATACCTAGACTGATCTTGAGTAAAAAAAGAATTAAGTAAAAATGGTACAGAATTCACTGCAAGGTTTTTGGGGACTGAGATCTCAAGGACTCATCACTGCAGAAAGTGAAGTACAAGGGCTATTCTGAATGCAATGCCTTCTATTTTGTTATGTTGTCCCACAACTTCTGAGGCAGATGTGGGTGGTACAGCAGTATAGATTGAACCTTTCCACCAGTATTCCATTATAATTGTTGCTTTGTGACAGAGGACAGCAGAGAGGCAGTCTGAAAAAGATGGTATCTGACCTGGAAGTGCGTATGAAAGCAGAAGTGTAGAATTGAATTCCTCTATGCAGATAAAAAAAAATTATAACCATTGGCATCCACTGACACTTGCTGAGAATTTGTGGAAATGGATGTGTGCACAGTGAGGCAGTGGGTACTGCATTACAGTAGTGGAAACAGCAATGTGAAAGACCAGCCATGTTCTGGAGAGCCATGGCACACCACAGGAGAGTCTCAACCAGCTAATTGACCCAAATAGATACAGTGTTGTCAGGTAACTGGGTACAGAGCTGAATGTCAGCTTTAATGCATTGGAAACAATAGTAGCAGTGTTGGAATATCACAAAGTTTGTATCAGGCAGGTCCCAGAAATGTTCAACAGAAATAGAAAGAGCACTATACGCAAGTTTATCAGGACCTACTGAACTAACACAAAGCTGAAGGTGACAGTTTCATGGATTGCATTATTACCATGAGATATGGTGTCATCACTACAAACCAGCAACAACATGTGAGTCCACAGAGTGGTGACATCTGAATTCCCCATGAAAGAAAAAGCTCAAGATGCAGCTCTCTGTGTGCAAAGTAATGTACACTGTCTTCTGGAATTGGATAGTGGTGATTCTTCTGATTTCCTGGAACCTGGACAAACCTTTAACTCTCACATAGCAACACTGACTAAGCTGAGGGCTCAAACTTTTAGAGTCAGGCCAAAAAAGAAGACAACCTTTCTCTTGCAGCATGATAACACCAGACCTCACATCAGTTTGAAGACCATGGAGCTACACTGGCAGTCTTGGCTGGACTATTCTACCACATCAATCATATAGTCCAGATTTGGCACCTTCTGACTTCCATATGTTCAGGCCAATGACAGATAGACTGCACAGACAATATTTTCCTAGCAACGACACCATCACAGAAGTTGTGAAACAGTGGATCACTTTCGGTGGTGCAGACCTTTAAGAGAGTGGCATGCAGGCTCTTGATCACCTCTGGCAAAAACACATAGCCAATGGTGGTGACTATGTTGATAAACACTCTTTTGTAGTGGAGAATTTGTACCAGCAAATCACATTACTTTGCTCTTTGTAAGTTGTAGTTTGAATAGAAATAAAGCATTACTTCCACAGATACTGATAGCTTTTCATAGTTTCTCTTCGAACCCTACTAAAACTGTACAAAGTTGCATGCAGTTACAGAAATCCATCCTGTTAGAAAGTTTAGCTCATTTCTCCTTAAAGTTACAGTGTGATGTCTTTTGAAGAAAAAACTAGGGAAAAAGACACTGGAGGAGAAAAAATGAAATTTCTAAGTAATAATTAACTATTTGCGCTGATTTAGAGTGAGATTGAGTTCATTTTCTTCTTAGCAGCTCATATGGCACTGTTTTGGATATGTTTTATTTTGTTTGTTTGTTTAGCAGTTCCAGCGTAGTGCTTACAGAGTCGAGGACTCTTCTGTTTCTCACACTGCCACACCAAGGAGGCTGGAGATGGAAAAGGATCAGGGAGGGGACACAGCCAGGAAAGATGATTCAAACTGACCCAAGGAATATCCCATACCATACAATGACATGCCTAGGAGTAAGAGCTGGGGGACAGAAAGAAAATTCAGAGTTATGGTGTTTGTCTTCCAAAGTAAGCACCACAAGTGATGTAGACCTAATTCCCAGTAAATGACTATCTACCTGCCAATGGGAAGTAGTCAATGACTTCTTCATTGTTCTCTGCTTGCCCACAATTTTTGTTTTACCCATTAAACTGCCTTTCTCTCAACCCATGAATTTTCTCACTTTACTCTTCTGATTCTCTTCTCTTGCTGCAGGAGAGTGAGCAAGTGGTTGTGTGGGACTCAGCTACCTACCAAGGCTGAACCACAACACTAAAATTCAAGAACTCAACTTCTCAATGAGGTGGGGTTTTTTTGTTTGTTTGTTTTTAAAAAAAGGAATTTCTGAAAAGTTTATAATCCTTTACAGACCATAACCTGCAAAATCGCTTTAAAAATTAGATGTAAATAAGAAAAATCTCAAATATCTGGAGCTTGTGTGCTCCTGAAACAGGTCTGTTGCTTATGACAGTTACTATAAACTATCGTGCAACTTTAATGAGCCAGAAGTCTGCTACAACCTAAAATCCTCATTGCTTTCTCATACTGAGCTTCTTTGCTCTGTGATCCCTAATGGCTAGCAGCTGTTTTGTTTTTGGTTTTGGTTTTTTCCAAAGGAGTGCCTGCAGTACACAAAAACCAAATATTTTGGGAGATAAGTTCTCTCTTCTAAAGGCACCACACTATGATGAAGTGATTAACTGATCTAATCTAAATCTAACTAAATTGTAGATACAATGGTACTCCAAGTTTCTTCAGTTGTTAACTACAACTACAGAAGTTAAGAACTTAAGATCAGACAATATTGAAATACATATAAAACCCATTTTGCTTGATCTAAAACTTTAAAAGCTTTAGGAAACAAAAAAAAAGAGGGCCTCTAGTATGAAGTACTTGGAACAGTAACAACATAGCCAGCAAACAGAATACAACCATAAACCCCCAACACCATTGAATAATACTGCCTCTTGCCTTCAAAAGCATCTCGACTTCAGTTGCTGACTAAAATATCAGATGCACTGTTCCAACACTGATTTACTCCCTTCCCCATTTTACTTCAGGTGTTTTTATTTTGCATAATTAAATTAAACCATTGCTCTTACTACTCTCATGTCATTTGCCATCTACAATCTGCCACTGCCTTCTCTACTACTCTAACCACTACCCTCTCTCAGAAAGTTGTTTTTTATAAAACTAAGCCAAATTAAACACAAACACTGGCTAACTAATTAACCTCTTATCTCAGCCACACAATCATCACTTCAAAATGTATTAAACCCATTTTCTAATGGATTAATTGATCCAAAACACTGATGAGTCAAGACAGATTTTGGAAGGCAAGCCTCAAAAAGAAATCCACAGGTGTGTTTTCCTTTTAACAAGAGAAGGGAAAGAAAGTGAATAAAAGTGACAAGAACAAAGCAAAAGAACAAACTTATCTTGAGATCTGAAAAACGGTACACATAGCTAATTCAGATGTTTTTATCACTAGTGAAGAATTTATAGAGTCCTGTAAATTTAGGACAAGTCTGTATCAAATAGGCTTATAGGAATAAAGTACTGAACCACAGAGACAGGAATAATAATAAAAAAATACCTAAGAAAAAATATGCCTACGTTTGTGAACACACACAAATGACCTAGTTCTTCAAGGAATATTTCTAATTAAACTCAGTACTTTCTATATCTAGTTGATCCTCAGTCAAACAGCCCTTTGAACAAAGCTATCAAGGAACAGTGTTTGTAAATACAGATCCATCATCATCATCATCATCATCATCATAAGTGGGAATAGACTAATGTAAATTTATGGCATTTTTTGGCTATATGGGGTGGGGCTCTCAAGATAATGAGATATGTAATGCCTCATACAAAATACAAAATAGCTGCACTAGTTATCACACACAGCTCTAAAAGTAATAATGATTTTAAGAACATAAGAACACAATGGATGCCTTCAGAACACTAAAGCTTAAATCGAAATCTCCTATGGATCTTTTCCAGGAGCTCCTCCTGGTGGCACAGAATAATTTCCAGTGTTCATTACAGTACAGTTCCCCATAGACCCTCAAGGTAATATGACTGAAACTTGCATATCATACTTCTACTTGTTTTTGTGCATTAAAATCATATTAGACAAGAAATGAAATTATACCCTCCTACTTTTTAGAAATATGCATAAAAATCATCAACTGACTTTATCAATTGAGCCGTTATGTATTTCCAACATATTAAAAAAGGTCCGTTGCAATATGGGGAAAAAAAAAAAAAAAAAAATCAGGCACTGTCAAGAAGCTGATGATGATCAATGACTGAGACAAACTCCTGTTTAGCTAATTAGAACCACTGATGAGCAATAATGATGTGAGCTAAGAATATTTCCAGACTTCTCTAGGATGAAAAATGGAATGAAGAGAGGCTGTCAATTTGTACAAGTTTTAAGCTCCAATCAGTTTTCCCATGAGTACTACCTATTTTAAATGTTTAACACAGCTGTATTTAGCTACATAAACTATCTAGATTCAGTTTTCCCCAAAAATGAAGAAACCAAGGAAATACTGTTTAACATTTTTCCTATTATGATTTTTTCCTGTGTTACATGATACATTACACAACAGGACAGGATAACATTTTTGAGGTTTGGACCATTATTAATGACTTGTCAAAAATGAAACATTACTCTTTAAGGAAACAGTTATGAATGAGGTGTGAAAACAGAATAAGGAGCACAAA